TCAACAGTGTGGTGATACGGATTTGCATTTTAAATGATTATGGCTTTCATAAAAACAATGAATGTCATAAGATGGAATAGGTGAACAAATGATAAATTAGCCAGTGTTTGAAATATGATCTTCAGAGGAAACACAATTATATACTTCTTTCCTACTATCATTTTCTCTAACACTCATCAATCATTTCTTTTATCAACATGACAGCATTTGCCATTGCAGTAGCTCATCTTAAGGCAAAACAGGTTCAAAAAAAAAAAATACCACAACATGAGCAACAAACACACTAGGTCAGCAATTATTTCACATGGTATTTTTAATTTATTGTCTCTCTCTTTTAATTTTCAAAGTAATACTCATCGGAGGAAACTCAATACAGAAGTGTATAAAGTGACACTACATGCCCTCAATTCCCCTCCCCAGTGCTAACAAATGATTGATTTATATCAGAACATAGCAACAAAGCTACTTTCTCTGAGTCATTCTTTAAAAAGCAAAAGAGGAATATGGATTCTCCTGACCAGACATTCCTTGAAAATCAGGTTTTTAAAAGCAACAGCAGGCTAGGGGGTGTCTGGGCCTGGAACTAAAATAAGCAAGCTGCCCCTGGAACTAAAATAAGCAAGCTGCCCATGCAGGGTTTAAATGAAAAAGGGTCTTGACCCCAGCACTGTAACTGGATGAGTGATGCTCCTCATATACCGTGATAATGCTACTGTAGGATGTACAAACACTTCAAAATGAGTAAGACTATCCTATCCACACCTTCTCTTTCAGTATTTTATTGGGAAAAACTTGGTCACTTTGCTCATAAAAAGACGGACAATCTTAATTAGTTACTTTTTAATCCATACTTGAGTGCCATCAGTGACAATGGCAGACTAAAAAACTTCAAAATTCTGTTCTCCAGAAAAGCAATGGAAAACTGGAAAATGGAAACTGGCAGAATCACCTTTTCTTGAACTCTATAAACTAACCAAAAGTTTGCAGCAACCACTTGATGCATTTAAGTACAATGAAACAATCAACAAAAACAAGGTGAGTTTTGGTTGGAGTAGCAAGCTTTGTGGCATTTTAACTAACCATAGTCTCATTCCCCATTCTCCAGCTCAGTGGTAGCCTTGAAAATAACAACCTGTCTACCTGGTACCAGTACTAGTACCACAGGGAGCAGAAAAGACTTCATTCACAAAGAATTGTAATAATTTGTTTTGACTTGTCTGGAGGCACCTCAGAAGTCCAGCACAAAATACTTGCCTTTATCTTGCCTAACTCAAAACTCTCCAACCCCTGAAAAGTGGCTAGCTGGAGAAAGCTTATTGAAGTCATTTACAGACAAATAAATATATTAGTTGCTGCTGCATGAGTCAACGGATAATAGTTGGGGCAAACAACAGACTAACCAAAGAAACTGGGAGGAAAGGCTAGAGGATGAGATGCTTTGGGGAATAAGGGCTTTGAAAAGCTCCCACATATTCCCGGGAATCTGAAAGTCCGTGTGCATTCTCAGGGTGAGTGCAAGCTCAGAAGGACCTGAGATGGCCCTAAGCTCTCATCTGTGACTGACCTACAAGCTCTGCACAAGCAGAAAGTGAAGGCTAAGGCAAACTGTACACTACTTGGCTGAGTATTGAACGTATGCTGTGATACACACACAGAGCCCCCCTGCAATGACAGAGGTTTTTGGTGGGTTTTTTTTATTGTTCTAGGCATTTAAGGAAAACTGTCTAATCACTAGCTGTCCACTAAGCTAATGAAACGGAGACTTCAGTGTCACATATCACACAAAAATTATACACTTTACAAAATTAGTTCAGAAAAATTACTAGACAAGTAAAAACAATTATAATAACAGCAATAATAAACCCTAGGGAGGAAGAATAATCTGATTCTAGAGTTGTAATATTGTAATATTCAAGATGTCCAGTTTTCAACATAAAATTATGAGGTGCATGCACAGAAAAAAAAGTAATCAACATAAACAGTTCTGTGAAAGCCCAGATATTGGACTTACTAGAGTTTCCCTGGTGGCTCAGGCAGTAAAGAATCTGCCTGTAGTGTGGAAAACCTGGGTTTGATCCCTGGGTTGGGAAGATCCCTTGGAGGAGGGCATGGAAACCCACTCCAGGATTCTTGCCTGGAGAATCCCCATGGACAGAGGAGCCTGGCGGGCTACAGTCCATGGGGCTGCAAAGAGTCGGACATGACTAAGCAACGAAGCACAGCACAGCACAAAGACATCAAATCAACTGCATTCAGGAAGTTCAAAGAGCTACAGACACTGCTAACAGAAAGAAAAAGTAGACGGCAGACCAGGAGAAATATTTTCATATTTTACATCCAGCAAAATAATTGAATGCAAAATATATAAAGACCTCTAAAATTTGATCATATGGAAACAAACAAATTTTTAAATGTGCAAAGATTTGACATTCTTCACCAAAGATGATATAATGGATGGCAATTAACCACATGAAAAGATGCTCAACATCATTATACATTAAGAAAATTCAAATTAAAGCCACAAGAAAATATCACTACACATTTATCAGAAAGACTAAAACAAAAGCCAAAGCGAAAAACCTGACAATACCAAAGGCTGATCAAGATGTAGAGCAACTGGAACTCTCATCCATTGCTGATGGTAATGCAAAATGGTTTAACACAACTCTGAAAACACTCTGGCAGTTTCTTATAAAGTTAAGCATACACTTACCATATGACCCATCAAAACAATGTCCAGGTACTTAAAGCTAGAGAAATAAAAACTTATGTTTATGCAAAAATCTGTATGTTTAGAGCAGCTTATTCACAAACACCAAAACCTGAAAATCACCTAAATATCCCTCATCAGGTAAGTGGATAAACAAACTGTGGTGCATTCATAGAATACTATTCAGCAGCAAAATAACATGAATGAGTCTCCACATTGTGCAGGATGAAATGATTCCATTAAAAGGCAAAATTACAAAGACATGGAACAGATCAGGAGTTATAGGGCATAGGGAAGATGTGACTGCAACAGGAAGCACAGGAATTTCAAGATGATGAAACTTCTGTATTCTGACTATGGAGGTGATTACATAAATCCACACCTGTATTAAAGCTCACAAAACTATGTACCCAAAAGAAGTCAACCTTATGTGTGTAAAATTGTGTATGTAAATTTAAAAACTAAAGGAGAAAAAAGACTGCAGGGGTTCAAATTCCATCTCTACTTCTCTCTGCCTCATTGTTCTCGTCTTAAAAACAGAACCTAACTTTTTGTGTTAGCTAATGAGTTCCTGGCATACTTTAGCACTAAATTAGTTACTGATTGATCAATAAAATGTTCTGTTCAGACATGCTAAAAAGTTGGTACTTTTAAAAACCTACTTACAAGAAATCTCATTTTCAATGAAAAAAGCAAAGAATTAAAGACTATTGTGCTTAAAACCCCTAATTTTTCATTACCTTTATTAAACATTCATCCGAAACCTATGAGGTGATCACTACCAAATTATGGTCCTCAAGGTTTACACAATTCATGTGCTCAAGGAGCTACTGAAAGGCTTGTTCCCAGTGCTACATGAATACTCACCATACTACTTAACATGAAGAGCAAACGTGCTCTAATTAAGATTTAATACTCAACCTTGTGTTTATCATTTCCCCTCTCCAGGGGAAGTTGCCAACTGGAAGCTTCTTTTCCCGAGTCAGGACAGGTCAGCATCCTTGGACTTGGCCCTGGCTGCGCTGCCTACATCCCATCCATCATCAGCTGGTCCCTCCCTCCTCAGAAACATCCTTAACATCCACCTTCCTCCCATTCCACAGATAAGGGGTTTGGAGCTTTTTAAGAGGCAGTAGCTGCTGTAAGTAAGAGTGGCTCCCATCTTTCCAGTGTCTCCCTCTTTACCTGAAAAGCGGCCTCCTTTCCTTGGCCAAACATCCAAGTCTACACTCGACTTCTCAGAGCAGAGGTGCCTGGGACCCAGGGTGGCGGCACTCTGGGGCGGGAGGGGTGGCTCACTTCCCAGAGGAGCACCCGCCACCGCGGGGCCGTGGGGACCATCGAGGGAGGCCGTCAGGAAGGACCCTGATTGCTGAGCTTCATATCCACTTGCTGCCCCCCTCAGCCCAGAGCCTGGCGCCAGCCGTAGTGATGACACCAAGTGGCAAACATGTCCTCATCACTACTAAAAATACAACAAGAAAACTTCTTGCAGTCTTGGGAGTGTGCTGTTTCAGTGAGACACTCGTAGAGTAGATATTCCCTCACCATTGCGGTGTACACAAGGATCCGGGTTAGAATAAAATGTAATCAAATGAACAATAAAGAGAACCTTAAATCATTGAAAACATTTTCTATTTGTGTTCTATTTGACAACTATGCATTGAACATGTGTGCCAGGCACCCTTGTGGTTTAGGAGGCTCTAACAATGAACAAAATACATCTTTCCCCATGCTACTCAATAACGAAAGGGTGTTCAGGTCATGCATGGAATCTGCCGGTTGTACCTTTTCACCCTCATAGCTAACCTCAGATTGCACCCCAAGCTCAAAGTCTCATCTGACAATGATACCGAGCAATGCAAGTCTAAATGACCAACACAGTGAGGCCAAATAACACTAAAACATTGGCGTCTGGAACAGAGAAAGGTTCACAAAAGGAGATGGGTGGCTCACGCCCTAAGAACCCCAAAGTCACTGAAAGCTTTCATCTCCAAGGTAGCCAGGCACCCAACCTACTGGCCCTCAGGTTCCTTAAGCTACCCAAAAACAGGTCCCACGGACTGTGACGCAGGCAAACTGCCAGTGCCTTTAGGTCGCAGAGACAGGGGTAGTGGAGAGGCTCACCACTGCCTCGAGGCCTGGGCCGAGCCGAGTTGGTGGCCGCGGTGAGGGCTCTGAGCCCTGCAGGACACAGAGCTAAGCCCATTCTGGGCCCCCAGCTCACCCGCTGGCCCACGGCCAGGTCAGCTGGAGGGCCTCAGGGAGAAGGCTGGGATCCGTCTCTTACCTCACTCTCCACCTCACCACCACCGCTCCACAGTTGTCTAATTTTCTTCACTAACCGTAGCTCCTTAACCGCCGGCTGCTTGTAGGTAGGACCCGCTGCTGTGCTTACTGGCAAAGCAGGACCCTACTCGGGGCTCCCTGACAGTTGGGTGCCGGTGGGTGGGGCCCGGTGGGGCACTCACCAATGGCAGAGCAGGACCCCTACCAGGGGCCCCCTGACAGTTGGGTGCCGGTGGGCGGGCCCAGTGGGGCACTCACCAATGGCAGAGCAGGACCCTACCCAGGGCTCCCTGACAGTTGGGTGCCGGTGGGCGGGGCCTGGTGGGGCACTCACCAATGGCAGAGCAGGACCCTACCCGGGGCTCCCTGACAGTTGGGTGCCAGTGGGCGGGCCCAGTGGGGCACTCACCAATGGCGGAGCAGGACCCCTACCGGGGGCTCCCTGACGGTTGGGTGCCGGTGGGCGGGCCCAGTGGGGCACTCACCAATGGCAGAGCAGGACCCCTACCGGGGGCTCCCTGACGGTTGGGCGCCGGTGGGCGGGCCCAGTGGGGCACTCACCAATGGCGGAGCAGGACTCGCTGCCTGGTAACAGGACGCCAGGTAGTAACGGGCAGCAGTAGCTGCCGTGCTAAGGGCTGAACTCACTGTGCTGTTCCAACAGAAGCAGCTGCAGGCCATTCTCAATTCTCAAATGCAGGTGGCCAGGTGAGTACCACAAGACCCTACCGTCCTCCTCCTTAAAAGTACCTATCTCTAGTTTGTCGTTAGAGTCTGCCCCAACGGGACACTCTGTGCAGGACCCTAGCTGGACAACCTACTTAGAGGCTCTTCCTTGGGGACGCTGACTACAGGAAAAACAAGAGTCATTTATTCAGTAAGTTTAGAGCTATGGAACGAGACAGAGGTAAACTGAGTCACCAAAATGATGACAGTGGTGACAGTAACAGAAGGAATAACAATCTTCCCAACTTACAAAGGAATGTTCTCTGGGGAAACTATTTGCTGTGTTTCCAAATAACTTTTTGCTGTATTTCCAAATGAACTATTTGCTATATTTCCAAATGATTTCTGACGCTACTTCCTGTGTCTTTCACTGGTATATCCTTATAATAAGCCTCCCATCAACTGAGGTTAGCCGAACAGGCCACTATTTCTTACAATCTGAAAGAACATAACTATCACACACATTACTTTCCAGTTACTTCAATGATAGGCCCTTACATCATTCTTTATGTGGAGTCTTCTTGCTGCTGCTGATGCTAAGTCTCTTCAGTCGTGTCCAACTCTTTGCGACCCTATGGACAGCAGCCGTCCAGGCTCCTCTGTCCACAGGATTCTCTAGGCAAGAACACTAGAGTGGGTTGCGATTTCCTTCTCCAGGAGTCTTCTTAAGCTATGGATAACACAAAGTGTTAGTCACTCAGTTGTGCCTGATTCTTTGTGACCCCATAGACTGTAGTCTGCCAGGCTCCTCTGTCAATGGAATTCTCCAGGCAAGAATACTGGAGTAGGTAGCCATTCCCTTCTCCAGGGGATCTTCTTGACCCAGGGACTGAACCCAGACCTCCTGCATTACAGGCAGATTCTTACCATCTGAGTCACCAGGGAAGCCCCATGGATAACACAGGGACTGTACATAGTCCATGTATAAAATGCATGGTAGATTCCACTTATTGTTTGACTGAAAGGCAACACAACATAAATTACTTATGATGGACACACATTACAGGGACTTCCTTGGTGCTCCATTGGCTAAGACTCCAGGCAGGGGGCCCGGGTTCAATCCCTGGTCAGGGAATTAGATCCACAGATCCAAACTAAGAGTTCACATGCCACAACTAAAGATCCCATATCCCATGCAACTAACACCTGGTGCAGCCAAACAAATTTTTGTTTTAAATTACAGTTTAGGGCTTCCTTGGTGGTCCAGTGGTTAAGAACCCGTGCTGAGATTCAGGGGGCTGGTTGGATCCTGGTCTGGGAAAATCCCACATTTCGTGGGGCAACAAAGCCCACACGCCACAACTACTGAGCCTGTGCAGTAGGGCCAGCAACCGCACCTACTAAGCCCACGTGGGAAAACTACGGAAGCCCGCACACCCTAGAGCTTGCGCGCCAGAACAAGAGTAGCCACTGCAATGAGAAGTCCAAGCACTGCAACTAGAAAGTAGCCCTGCTCGCCACAATCAGAGAGAACTGCGTGTAGCAACGAAGACCCAGCACAGCCAAGGTCATAAACCAATTAATTAAACTCATTATGTAAAAAATAATAATAAATACCTGTTCAAAAAATTACAGTCCAAATTCCAAGAAAGCACAGTGAGACCACTCAACATCACATTTTTAAATAGGAGACGAAGCCAGTGAGTCTCAGCTCACATAGAACTCTAATTAAAACTCCAGCTCTCCAGCTATCCCAAAAGTACTTAATTAGGAAATCTGAGTGGAGGGTGAGCACACATCTTGTAGAAAACTCCTCAGTTAATTCCGATGCCCAGTCAGCACTGAGAATCCCAGTACTGAGGCAGAAGTAACTGAGGGCCTTGTTACTCAACGTGTAACCCAGGCACCACCAGCAGCAGCAGCATCTACAGTCTGTTAGAAAGGCAGAATCCCAGGCTCCACCCTGAGCCTATGAAATCAAGATCGGCAGTTTTACAAGATCTCCAAGGGATCTGTAGGCACATTAAAGTTTGAGAAGCACGGTTTTAAAGTTTAAAGCATTGCTTTAATAGAAGTGTAAGAAATACCATACCATGTTTTTCAAGTTGAGTATCTCAAGAAGAAAGGAGAAACAGGAATAGATCAGCATAGAAAGATTAAATGTTTGTGATATTAGGCATTTCACATTAGTAAGCATCTAATTAAGAGTAATATTCAAATACAAGTCTGCACATTTTAAAACTTGAACTACCACTCCTTATTCCAAATGAATTTAACTTACAAACCACACCTTCCACTGGCAAGAGTTATACCTCAACTGAGTAACACAAATCTACTGTATAATCTCCAGATAACTTGTTATCTCCATGGAGCTAGTGTGCTGAGGGACACTTCTCATGAGGAAGTAGAGACACAAGGAGTGCGGTGACAAGGCAAAAAAGGATCTTTTACCTGGGTAGCCCCAAGCTGAGTGAGGGGCCGTCCAGATTTTTGTGAAGACCTCTGTGCTAGTTTCAGAGGACCCTCTGGAGATGGTGACATTTATCCAGCAAAAGGAACTCTCCACGTGTGTGCAAACGTTTTTTTCTGTGCCCCCTGTGCTTGGCCGGCTCTCAGAGAAAAAGCATTTAGCTTTCTTCCAGTACAGCGATTCCTTGATTAATGTATCTTCAGAAAACAACACTCTAGCACGATGCAGGCAGCCATACTGGACACAAACTCTGAATCTTAAGCAGCAGGTCTGGCACGAGCTACAGGCTCCTCAGTGATGCCACTGCGAATCTGCTCCTGTGCAGTGGAGGGACAAAACCTCCTCCCACCACAGCTTCTGTCTGTCCATGCCCTGAGAAGCATTAAACATGGCACTTGGCAAAATGACAAAATCAGAAAACTGTTTTCAGATTCTAGAGGTTTCCCTTTCAATCCTGCTAAACAAGGATGACCATGACCCTCTTTAAGAAATGTACATTACACATGAGAACCTGACATTTATAGGCATTTTTCCCACAGTAAACTTGGAGAGCAGTTAGAGAATAAATAATTCCCATTCAAAAGATGCAAAAGGGAGGGACATCTAAGTTATTTGTCCAAGGTCACATTATAATAAAGCACAAAATAGCAGCAAGAACCTAGGTATCTTAAGGTAATCTCATGGTAACAAAATTAGCCTAGTGATAAGGAGAGAGAAACAAGATCAAGTCAATTTTTATCAGCCAGGAATTGGATTCAGCTGCTAATTATAAAGACCTAAGATGCTGGAAGGGATTGGGGGCAGGAGAAGGGGACGACAAAGGATGAGATGGCTGGATGACATTACCGACTCGTTGGACATGAGTTTGGGTAAACTCCGGGAGTTGGTGATGGACAGGGAGGCCTGGCGTGCTGCGATTCATGGGGCTGCAAAGAGTCGGACACAACTGAGCGACTGAACTGAACTGAAGATAACTATTGTTTCCCAGGTGGTGCCAGTGGCAAAGAATCCGCCTGTCGATGCAGGGGATGAAAGAGACATGGGTTCAATCCCTGGGTCAGGAAGATGCCCTAGAATAGGAAATGGCAACCCACTTCAGTGTTCTTGCCTGGAGAATCCCATGGATGGAGGAGCCTGGCGAGCTCCAGCCTATGGGATGGCACAGAGGCGGACACAACCGAGCACACATGCACCCATGCAAGGCAACAGAGGCTGAAGTCAGACAGTTTTTTCTTAAATAAAGGAGAAGCAGGCAGTCAAAAGCTCACATGATGACTCTACTAACGCTGGGAACTGACAGTCCGTGTATTTTTCCTCTCCGCTGTTCTCAGTGTGCGGCTTCCATCCTCAAGGTGACCTCATGACTCAGGATGGCTGCTGAACCACACACACCCTTGTTTCTGGTAGGAGGGGGACAGAAGGGGGTATGGGCAAAAGGATATTCTGTACAGTTGAGTCCCCTTTAGAGAATTTGCCTAGAAACCCCACTCAACAACTTCCACTTGCGTCTCATTAGCAGGCTGAGTGAAGCAGTCTCATAGGTGGGTACTCTGCCCCAGTCAGTCACACAGGGTCCCACTGACTAAGGAAGGGGGATGAATACTGGGGAGGCCACTAGGAATCTGCACAGACTCCGGCTCCATTGCTTTCTAGCTGTGTGGCCTGGACTAGATTATTTAGCTCTCGAGGTAAACAGCCCCTTCTGTTTCTCATCTGCCAAAATGAAGGGAGTCATCACACCTATCTCATAGGATTGGTATGAGGACTAAGGGAAAAAAATACACATAAGACAATTAGAATACCACCTGGAAGCCAGCACACGATAAATATTAACTCACTGTTTGGTTATCCTAGTCCAGAGCTTTTCCAAATTCCTCTCATAATATAACATCTTCTCCATTTCCAAAACTGGAAAGGAATTCATATTAGTGCTTGGCACCTGTGGATATGCTAGTGTGAAGGAGTTTTAGTCATAGGCCACCTCAAGCTGGATATGCATTCCATGTCTTTCTTTTGTAATTATGAAAGTGTGTGTCAGACATCAGGACGTATCAGATTTTCTGGACAGAACTCGGGTGGAGGAATCGAGCTCACGTTCCCCAAAAGGAAAGGTCTAAACACAGTCCCAGTGGAGATTCTGGAGAGCCCAAAGAAACTAAAAAAGAATGATATCGCCTGTGCAGAATTCTACACAACTTATGGAGATATTCTACCCCTGAGGAGGTGAAACATAACTCTTACTCTAAGTGTGGCCTGCACAGTGACTTCCTCTAGTTCCTGTGGTATGAAAGGAGGGAGGAGTAAGCCTGGGGTAGAGAAACCTGACCAACACTGCCTCAGTTAGGTGATCAAGGTCAATACCAATAGTAATAAGTGATGTTAATACTATACCCTTAAGTGTGGAGAAAAGGGGACCCGCTTGCACTATCTGTAGGGATGTAGACTGATACAGCCATTATGGAGAACAGCATGGAGGTTCCTTAAGAAAAACTAAAAATAGAATTCCCATATGACCCAACAATCCCACTACTGGGCATATACTCTGAGGAAACCATAAATGAAAAAGGCACATATACCCCCAGTGTTCACTGCAGGACTATTTACAACAGCCAGACATGGAAGCAACCTAGGTGTCCATGGACAGATGAACAGATAAAGAAAATGTGGTACAAATATACCATGGAATATTACACAGCCATAAAAAGGAATGAAATTGGGTCATTTGTGGTGATGTGGATGGACTTGAGAGTCTATCATATAGAGTGAAGTGAGAGAAAGAAAAACAAATATCATATACTAACGTATATATATATGGTATCTAGTAAAATGGCACAGATGAACCTATTTGCAGGGCAGGGATGGAGATGCAGACATAAGGGACAGACAGGTGGACACAGTGGAAGGAGGGGAGGGTGGGATGAATGGGAGAGTAGCACTGAACCTCTATACACTACCACGTGTAACACAGCCAGCCAGTGGGAAGCTGCTGTATAGTCAGGGAGCGCAGCCTGGCACTCCAGGATCACCTAGAGGGTGGGATGGGGGTGGTGGTGGAAGGGGGCACAAGAGGGACAGCATATATGTATAGATATAGCTGATTCACTCTGTTGTACATTAGAAGCTATCACAACATTGTAAAGCAATTATACTAAAAAAAAAAAAAAGAGAGAGAGAGAGAAAAACTATACCCTTAATATGTGGTTAATATGTTACTTCATGGGCTTCCCAGGTGGCTCAGTGGTAAAAAATCTGCCTGCCAATGCAGGAGATGCAAGAGACTCGGGTTTGATCCCTGGTCCAGGAAGATCCCCTGGAGTAGAAAATGGTTAACTCCAGTATTCTTGCCTGGAAAATTCTACAGACAGAGGAGCCTGGCAGGCCACAGTCCATGGGGATACAGAGTTGGACGCGACTGAGCGCGTGCACGCACGCACGCACACACACACGGTACTTTACCTCTCAAACACCCCAAGCTCCAGTCTAAACAGTAGAACGTCAGATCCCCAAGAGTGACATTCTACAAAGTATCTGACCAGTACTCCTTAACACCGTCAAGGCCATCAAGAACAAGGAAAATCTGAAACACTGTCACAGCCAAGAGCAGCCTGAGGAGACATCACAACTATATGTAATAGGACCATGCAAAGCAAGAATAAATTAGGTAAAAATTAAGGAGATGTTAATTAAGGGGAAATATGGGTGTGGGAGACGGGAACCTTCTGTACTAGCTTCACAATTTTCCTGTAAATCTAAAACTATTTCCTGTAAATCTAAAATTATTCTAAAAAAAAAAGTTCACTTAAAAAAAGAAAACAGCCACTCCTACAGGGTCGGCTGCTCTCCCGTCTCGAGGGTGTACTATCTGTTGCCCATTTAATAAAGTTCTGCTTGCAAAAAAAAGAAAAAACAATGCTTTATTGCCTGTTCACTCCTCCCCAGCCACACACCCATCCCCACCCAAAGGCATGCCTAGAGCCCCTAAGGGTGAGACATACAGAGGCTGAGGGGCAGAAACTGACGTTCAACCTCCATATAAATGAGAGGCCCCGGCCTCCTTCCTTCCCTCCCATCACCCTGCTCTGCACTATGAAGCTACTAGATGTATATTTCCATCTTGTACTTAACACTAACATTTGCATCATACCTATGTTCAGTATTATAAATTCCCCTAGGATGTACACAAAGAATTATACATTTCCCCAGAACACAGCTCACATCTTCCGCTGATAAAGCGGAGTACCATCCCTTGACCAGTGAAGTGCCCATCTTGAGAGACACAACGTAAGCCAGCTTAACAGCCCTTCTCCAGGTAAGGCATGCCTTAAGCCTGGCACCTTTGGCTTCTCCTTCATCAACGAATAACTTCACAAGGAACCTGGAGAAACACCCCTAGATCTGAACCTGCACACTGGCACGCTTCTGTAAACCAAGTCAGAAGTTCTTTTCCTGCTCATGTCCTATCATCCCAAAATGCAAAGTTGGAAACCTCATCCTTTCAATTAATAAGGCAAAAACTCAAGCCCAGAAAGATGCTGTAAGTTGCTGGAGGCTAAAGATGCTTACTCCTTGGAAGGAAAGTTATTTGCTGCGATTCATGGGGTTGCAAAGAGTCAGACACGACTGAGCGACTGAACTGAACTGAACTGAACTTAAAGCTAATTAAGAGAGATCTGTGTACAGAGGATTAGACTCTAAGTACCACTGAATGTAGGGCTTCCCAGGTGGCACTAGGGAAAAGAACCCGTCTGTCAATGCAGGAGATGTGAGAGCTGTGGGATCAATCCCTGAGTCGGGAAGATCCCCTGGAGGAGGGCATGGCAACCCACTCCAGTATTCTTGTCTGGAGAATCCCACGGACAGAGGAACCTGGTGGACTACGGTCTATGGGGTTGCAAAAAGTCGGACACGACTGAAGCAACTTAGTACACACACGCCATTGAATGTAGAAGTGAAAGGTTCTGAGAGAAGGCAGAGTTGCCCCCAGAATGTCACATGCCAGTGAAGTTATAGAAGCCTTGGATGAACAGTGGCAAAGATTAAAAAAAAGAATGAAGGAATGCACCCTGGTTAAAAATAGGATGTGGAGTCATCGACTTCCCTTTGATTTGTTGAAATCACTTTGAACACAATGATTATGTCACAAGAAAGAGCTTTTCTTTTGTGATGAAGAAGAAAAGGTATTAATAAAAATCATGACAAGCCACATTAAAATAGCTTGTATGGTGCAAGGAACGTCAAGTGAAGAACTAGGCTCTGTCTTTGATGGTCTTGTAAGATTGATATATTTCAAAAAGATACATGAATTCCAAAGCAAAGCAAATACATTTGATTAGAAATGGTGAAGATGCAGTTTTACCTCCTTTTTCTTTGCCAACCTGAAACTGTGTAACTATTCCCAAATGAAGAAAAAATTCAGACTCAATGAAGTGTTAGATGTTTTAACAATAACAAAATTGTACATAAACACTAACAACATTATAGGCAGTATTTATTATGTGCCTAGCTGTGTTCTAAAGGTATTACATGTACTAATTCAGTCAATCCTCAAACCCTATGCAGTAGGTTTTATTAATATTCCCATTTTACAAGTAAAGAATGGACGCACACAGAGAGGTTAGGTAACCTGTCCAAGGTCACACAGTAAGAGGTTGAGTCAAGAAATAAACTAAGATAGTCTGGTTCTCTTATGCTAACCTCCATTTTATAGTTACCATGAACTACTTGATCTTCTTATTTCTTTAAAGTATATTAGGCTTACCTTCCCTAATTCCATGACATGCTCTTTAAAAGCAGGGAACCTATTTTATATATTTCTTTGTATTCCCTGTATTTTCTACACATTTTGCTTACATTTTGTTGACAGGATGACTAGTAGATCTTCTTAAAGACCTTGGTGAGTAGAGAATTTTTAAACAGCATGTCCATATATCCCTGGTGTCTGTGAGATTTATAATAACTTTCTCAAAATAAATTAGATAACTTTGGAAATCTAATAACAAAAACTGTAAGCTATGGCCCAGAAGAATTAATGTAGTTTTCAAAACGATACAACTTATTAGGCAGAGCCACACACTCTGGGCCATATGACCTGACATGCTGTATGAATCAAATAAATAATGGTTCGTGACTTGAAACACCCAATAGAGTAACTGAGGTGCAGCTATATATCTAGCTGTGTTCTTTTTAGATTAAGTTTTTTTTTTTTTTTTAACACTTCTGAGTCTCAATTTACTTGTCTTTAAAATGGGGATATCAAAAATGTACCCTCTTCCTTCTCAGGTTGTTGTAACCATCAAGTTCCATCTGTGGAAGTCCCTCCTAAGTAGAAAAGCACCAGGTAAATGTAAAAAAGTATTTCTAAAATATAACAAGCAATATGCAGGTATAAACATGTGGAGCATTCAAAGCAACTGACTTTTACTAGTAGCCAGCAGGACAGCTTGGAAAACCACAGATTTTCAGGTCAAAAAAGACCTGGATTCAAGTCCCCATCCTGCCACTTACAGCTTGAGGGATCTTGGGCAAGTCACTTAAATATTTTTTATGTATTTCTGAGCCTCAATCTTTTCAATTATAAAATGGAGAAAATAACACCTCCCCCACAGGAGACAACAAGTAAGAAGCAGTTCATAGGGAATACAACGAAGAGAACACAACGAAATTTAATTGTGACCTCATATTAAAAATATCAGTTATTCTACTCAGAACACATGGGAGAAATTATATCTGTCTTTCCAGAGTTTACCATAATCACATCAAACAGAGTAAATTTATTTAATATTTATTAAACCCTATCAAATGCCAGCAGTAAAGAATCCTCCTGCAAAACAGAGACGCGTAAGACATGGGTTCAATCCCAAGGTCAGGAAGATCTTAGGTTTTATTAATATTCCCATTTTACAAGTAAAGAATGGACGCACACAGAGAGGTTAGGTAACCTGTCCAAGGTCACACAGTAAGAGGTTGAGTCAAGAAATAAACTAAGATAGTCTGGTTCTCTTATGCTAACCTCCATTTTATAGTTACCATGAACTACTTGATCTTCTTATTTCTTTAAAGTATATTAGGCTTACCTTCCCTAATTCCATGACATGCTCTTTAAAAGCAGGGAACCTATTTTATATATTTCTTTGTATTCCCTGTATTTTCTACACATTTTGCTTACATTTTGTTGACAGGATGACTAGTAGATCTTCTTAAAGACCTTGGTGAGTAGAGAATTTTTAAACAGCATGTCCATATATCCCTGGTGTCTGTGAGATTTATAATAACTTTCTCAAAATAAATTAGATAACTTTGGAAATCTAATAACAAAAACTGTAAGCTATGGCCCAGAAGAATTAATGTAGTTTTAAAAACGATACAACTTATTAGGCAGAGCCACACACTCTGGGCCATATGACCTGACATGCTGTATGAATCAAATAAATAATGGTTCGTGACTTGAAACACCCAATAGAGTAACTGAGGTGCAGCTATATATCTAGCTGTGTTCTTTTTAGATTAAGTTTTTTTTTTTTTTTTAACACTTCTGAGTCTCAATTTACTTGTCTTTAAAATGGGGATATCAAAAATGTACCCTCTTCCTTCTCAGGTTGTTGTAACCATCAAGTTCCATCTGTGGAAGTCCCTCCTAAGTAGAAAAGCACCAGGTAAATGTAAAAAAGTATTTCTAAAATATAACAAGCAATATGCAGGTATAAACATGTGGAGCATTCAAAGCAACTGACTTTTACTAGTAGCCAGCAGGACAGCTTGGAAAACCACAGATTTTCAGGTCAAAAAAGACCTGGATTCAAGTCCCCATCCTGCCACTTACAGCTTGAGGGATCTTGGGCAAGTCACTTAAATATTTTTTATGTATTTCTGAGCCTCAATCTTTTCAATTATAAAATGGAGAAAATAACACCTCCCCCACAGGAGACAACAAGTAAGAAGCAGTTCATAGGGAATACAACGAAGAGAACACAACGAAATTTAATTGTGACCTCATATTAAAAATATCAGTTATTCTACTCAGAACACATGGGAGAAATTATATCTGTCTTTCCAGAGTTTACCATAATCACATCAAACAGAGTAAATTTATTTAATATTTATTAAACCCTATCAAATGCCAGCAGTAAAGAATCCTCCTGCAAAACAGAGACGCGTAAGACATGGGTTCAATCCCAAGGTCAGGAAGATCTCCCGGAGGAGGAAACGGCAATCTGCTCCAGTATTAGGCCTGGCCAGCTAGAGTCCACAGGGTCACAAAGAGTCGAACACAGCTGAGCACACAAAATTAAATGCCTACCACTCCTCGGAATTTTGTACTTCCTGCCCTTTGGAACGACTTCGCTTTCACTTTTCACTTTCATGCATTGTTGGAGGAAATGGCAACCCTCTCCAGTATTCTTGCCTGGAGAATCCCAGGGACAGGGGAGCCTGGTGGGTTGCCGTCTATGGGGTCGCACAGAGTCAGACATGACTGAAGTAACTTAGCAGCAGCAGTCCTTTGGAGAAACAATATAAAAATGCTGTCAGGTCACTCAGAGTTCTCAGACCCATTTGAGATTCTGACGAAAGCTATGGCATCTCTCCCCAAAGAAAGCTACAAAACTTTTAGTAGACACAACAGAAGATATAGAATATCTTCATGACCTTGAAGTAGAGAAAGCATTCTTAACAAAGGAGGACAGCGAGGAGAGGAGGGACCCTTAACTATAAAGAAAAAGATTCATAAATCTACCTACATTAAAATTATGAATTTCTACATCAAAAGAAACCATGAACAAAAATTTTTTACATAAACTAGAGTGGAAGCACAATTTGCAACACATGCAACCAATGGAAGCTGAGATTCCTGTGCAAGTAAAAAGCTCCAACAAATCAATAAGAAAAATAAGCAAAAATGTAACATATGAATGCAAAGAAAAGAGACTACAGCTGCACGTAACAATATGGATAAATCTTACAAACTTAACACGGAATGAAGAAAGCATGACACTAAAGAATATATACAGGATGACTTCACTCATGTGAAGTTGTCAAATAACTAAATAAATCATGCTTAGTAAGGTAAAAATAATANACACGGAATGAAGAAAGCATGACACTAAAGAATATATACAGGATGACTTCACTCATGTGAAGTTGTCAAATAACTAAATAAATCATGCTTAGTAAGGTAAAAATAATACTGAATAGGGATGCACATATATATGCATATGCTCTATGCAAGCATACACGTGTAGGTAAAACTGTGCAGAAAAGGGGGGAAAAAGTGGTTCCCTCAAGGGGAAGGAAGACGTCATGTCTAGGAGAGACCAAAGTTTGCTTCAGGAAATGATAATACTTGGGCACAGGTTACGAGAGTCTTACTTTATGATTTACAGGTTTTATATGTTCTCCTGAATATACATTGCAAAGTAAAAAAAAAAAAAAAAGCCCTTCCACAACCACACCTTGTATTTAGCAGGGAGAGAAGGAACTCACAGACTCCCTCAAGTCCATACGGCCTAAGTTTATGGTGTCAAGCTCTGTGAGATCAAAGAAAAAGGGAGAAATCCTTAGATTGTGAGGTGGTGGAGGAAGGAGAGAGGGGATGAGGACAGGAAAGATGGAAGAGGAGGATGAAGAAACAGGAGATCCCCCCCTGGTTGCCCAGTGGTTAAGACTCTACCTTCCAACGCAGGGTGTGTGGGATAGACCCCTGGTCAGGGGGCTAAGGCCCCACACGGCTCACAGCCCCAAACCCAAAATGTCAAACAAAAGCAATATTTTAACAAATTCAATGATAACTTTAAAAATGGGTCAGGTTAAGGGGGCGGGGGGTGGGGGCGGGTAGAAACATGAAGCCTCTAGGTCAGCTCCTACTCTCTCCCTTGGAGAGAGAACACCCGGCACAAACATAACTAACAAATGCCCAAGCTTGGTAAGGAATGCAACGGAGTCTGAAAAACACACGGGAAACTAATGAGAAAGAGGAGCACAGCTTGCAAAGAAATGTAAACTATTAAATAATGTGTCTCCAAAGAAAGAAGCCTGCTAAAATAGCCAGTTTAACCCTCTGCCCACTCCATAATGTCTGTCGCCCCTGAACCCAGACAGAGTATATAAAATGTTAGAAACTGTAAACACCAATTTCTGAGTGAAAAAGAACACCATGTCACCTCACAGCAACAGATTATCACGGAACCTGGAAGAGCTCCTAGTAGCCCTGGGAAACTAAAGAACTGGCAAAAACAAGTTACAATATGCCATTCCCACCGGCCTTGGAATAAACACATATACTGCAACTACATGATAAACATGTATCTGGATCATATCTAGTATGACTTCCGTACGGCTCTTCACAGAACATATGTGAAGCTTTTTGCTGAATATAAGAGGAGCCCAAGGAATGTTTAAATCAGTGGAAAACAGAGGAATATCTCTGTAAAGTTTCTCATTGTATTCTCCCATGAATTACTTACTCGTATCTAGCAATCACCTAGTATTTCATTAGATCTGGGTTTATACTAAACAAAACTATCAAGACGTTATCTTCAAAACGGTTGGTGTTTGTGTGGTTAGTCAAATGCCTTATTTTGCTGGAAAGAATAATGGGCAAAAGGAATGATTTTTTTAATTACAAAAAGCATTTAATGCTTTTAATAATCATTAATAACATGCAATAATTTACATCGTGCAAAACATACTTTTCTAATTTTTCTCATATCAATTCATTGTTTATTTACTGCTTACAGTTTCTAGTCCTCAAATCTTATTGACATTAATAATCCCCACCACGTATCAAATATTTAGATGGTAACACTCATTGCTAGAAAGAAGTCCAGAGCAAATAATCTAGATTTCCTCGAAAAAAATTCCAAAAGGAAAAATGGAATTTGGCATTTGGACAACATGAGAAGACTCATCTTCCAAAAGGAATGATTTTTAAGGGTTCAAGATCCTACCAAGAGCATCAAATCAACTATTTCTTCACGTTCCACTCAAACTCTTTCCTTTCATCCCATTTTCTAGCCTCCATTTGTTCCCCAGAAACTCAGGATCTTCTTTCAATTCTCCAACTTTCTTTGAGGTTAAGGGAGCCATATAGAAAAGTTTCTCCATGGTTTACCAGAATGCTCAGTGTATTCCACTTTCTAAAGAGGCCTTAATGAGTGTGCACATTGGAATCTTTCTCACGCCTCTATCTCCCTTTTATTGTCATCTCTTCCCTCTTGTGTTCTTCCCTCTTGTTTTCAGATAACTGGCTTATCCAGTTGGAACCAAAGACCAAAGAATTTCCTCTCTATTATGTTTAAGTGAAAAGCTCCCCCGGAAAGTGAAGGGGTGTGGGAGTACACTCCCTCTTCCACTTCTGCGCCCAACTATTGATCCGTGCACCAAAAACAAGATCACAAAAGGAGTCATATGCCCAGAAGTGATTCTCGGTCCAAATGCATCACCTTTTGGAATGCTATATTCTGGGCGGGAGGAGGTGGGGCGAGGCGGGGGTGGTGTCACCAAGTAACTCTAAAGCAAGTCCTGTAGAAACTAGGTGCACTTGGGCGATTGGGGGTTGGGAGGGCAGGCCCAGGTCCGAAGTTCAAGAGGCACCGAAACCCAAACCCGACTGGACTATTAGCACGTGCTCAGACTCGGTTGCGACAGCTTGGCAAGCCTATCGGGAGGGGGCATTCTGCACCGGCCTCTGACTCATCCAGAGATAAGGCAGCCACAAGTTCCAAGCTAGCAGCTTCTGGATTTAGTCTGCACGGAAAATGTGTAGTTTCGGCTCCAGGGCCCCTAACAGGTAGAGCTAAGCTTGAATTTCCTGGGGCTCGGCCCCAGAGTGAGGAT